CCCCAAAACCCCAAAACCCCAAAACCCCAAAACCCCTTCGACTTAGTCAATATTAAAAATTAGATATAAATATGGAGGAAGACTTATACCTTGAATCGGAAGAGCCTAGCTTCGCTGTTTTAGACATAAAAATAGTCCGTGCGGAGCTATGTAGGTCTACAAATTCGTTCTACAAGATGGACCCATACTGAAAGCTTGTACATCTCAGCTCAGGTACAAAGATCAAGACCAAAGAGTGCCGTAAGGGTAATAAGACTCCTCTGTGGGATCACCGAGAGAGCATGCTTATTACAGACCAGATGGCAGCAGACTTAAGGTTTGTAGTGAGCGTTATGAATAAGAACTCCTTCGGCAAAAATAGTATAATCGGGCAGAGTGCTCTCCAACTTGACTATATAACCCAAGTAAAAACCCAAGAAGCTGATTTTCCCTTGCTTTACAAGAACAAACTAGTTGGTAGGGTCTTTATCGATCTGGAATATAAGGACGGAACAGAGTTTGAAACTCAGCAAAGATTTGAGTCAGAAACTTACCAAGAGGAAGTCTTCCCAGATCCAGAGGATTTCAATGAAAGTGAGTCCTACACTATTGAAAACGCCCTTAACTATGAATATTCCCCTGTAGCAAACAAGAAGGCAGAGGATGAAAGCAAAGCTAAGTCTGCAGGTGATAGAGTAATACAAATTGACCAATCTTTATCACCATTAGAGGCAAACCTTGCCTTGAATAAAACACCAATGTGGTTTAAATTCAACTCGTCAGAAGTATTCCGTTTTAATTATGAAGAGATGTGATATGAATCTGTTGTGATAGAAGAGCCTGAACATCTAGGAGATCATCTAAGAGTAGCTGAACTACCTGATTCCTCCTTCCTCATTACAGGAGGCAAGAAAGAAGACTACGCCAGAGAGGCGTTCCATTTTTATGACAAAGCTTTTTATCAGAAGAATGATATGATCACACCAAGAGCAAGTCATTGCACTCTGTATCACAAAGGATATGTGTTCTGAATAGGTGGCCGTAATGAAAATGGAGCTATTGATGAATGTGAAGCATTTGATATGAACACTAATGAATGGGTCCCTCTTCCAAATATGCCGACAAAGAGATTCAATGCTGGATGATGCAAATTTGATTTAACCACGATTTATATCTTTGGTGGAACAACTTCTACAAAATCGAATAATGGAATCGATGATGATGTAAATACACCAAGAATAGAATCTTTTAACATTGATACATACCAATGGGAGACTCTTGCAATATCTCTTTCTTCACCTATTTCCTTACCTGTATGTATTCAAGTTGGCCACCATCAAGTGATGATTCTTGGAGGAAAAGAATCAGACGGAATCTGAAAATCTGATGTACAATTAATCGACCTAAACACATGCCTAAAAGTCAGAAAAGAGAGTTTAGAGCTACCTTGATTCTCCATTTACCCTCCTATATACAGAGAAGAGATGATTTACATCCAAAATTCGGGTACAGAGTCAATGAATGCACCCGACCCTATAATCTATCCTTTCTCAGTCACCACTTAATCACCAGATTTCTCGGACAGAAAGTGGGGAAAATTTCAATCTGCTACAATTTCCTGGGGTTTTGGGGTTTTGGGGTTTTGGGGTTTTGGGG